CGGTTACGACTAATAGCATGGACCATGGGGCAGGGGCTCCAGCAGGCAGGCACAATCCCCGCACCACCCCACACCCGGCCTCCTTCTTTAAAAGCATCGTGGGCTGATTTAATCGGAAGTAAGTGTGCCAAGTGTCAATGAAGAGCTTGAGAGTATGATTTTCGAGAAGAAGAGTCTTTAATATTTGTTAGGATCCAACCCCAGGAGTTAGCTATCTATGACCTCCTTTACGCTCAAGAACAGAAGGGCCAGGAGTCAAAAACATCCCAGTTCTCAACGCTCTGGATCAAAGAGGGAAAAAGAAAATCAGCAACGTGATGGAATTCTATGTTCACCCAGGAGGCAAGACCCGATGCAGGTCAGATAAAGAGCGAGACCTTCCTTCCGAGGTGAGCCCGGCTAACGTGCAGCAACTGACGGGAAGAGAGGTTTAAAACCCAGGTTTGGTTCAGATAAACACCAATGATTTGGACGATTTCTGAACCATCTGGACCTCTCGAATCTGCAACATTTGGCTGGAGTCTCTTCAAGATTTCTAGTACTTCCTGCTTCTGATTAGCATAGAAACACCATGACAACAATCTCCTTCAGAGCAGGCTGTGGTTCCAATCCCATATGGGATCCCAAAGCACAAAGAACACCACATGATTAGAACCATTTGAGCCATTATTTCAAAAACTTTATATAGCTAGATGCCAAGGCGACGGGAGAAAAAAAAGATGAGGTGGTTCATTTCTTCTACAAAGACCCTGTGCTTTGGAGGAACAGGCTCAACTTGTATTTACCAGGACTGGAAATTAATCAAGTGTAAGGAACTGATATAAAAATTTAAAATCTTCCCCTGGGATTTTGCACTTCAGCCAGCGTTTCGGAAAATGGCTTGAGCAGTCAGGGTGCAGTATAGCACCGACAAAACATACAACTTTCCTCTAGTTTTTTAATGCCCTCCCCCCACCCCCATCATGACCTCAATTCTACCTTACAAATCTGACTAGACCAGAGCATGTACACTGCTACAGATAGGAGCTCGCAACACAGGGAATCCAGGACAGATACACCCCTCAGGACCAATAATGAGAACAGAGATACCAGGAGGGGAAAGGGAAGGTGGGGGAAGAAAGGGGGAACCAGTCACAATGATTGACATATAGTCCCTTGCAAAGGGGACAGACATCAGAAAAGTGAGTGAAGGGAGACAGTGGTCAATAGAAGTCATGGGGGAAATTTTTTTTTTTTAATAAATTGTCAAGGGCTCATGAGGGAGGAAGGGGGAAAATGAGGAGCTGATATCAAGGGCTCGTCAAAAGAAAATGTTTTGAAAATGGTGATGCCACCATAGGTACAAATGTGCTTGACACCCTGGATGGATGGATGATGATAAGAGCTGTTAAGAGCCCCCAATAAAATGATCAAAAAGAAGAATACAGCTCTGTTGCCTACCATCCTTGATTTTCACAAAATAAGCTACTTTTGGGGGGCCGTTCCAAAAAAAAAGACAGAGAAGAAAAGAAAACGACTTGAAAGGATTCTTGTTGCTTGGGGTTTTGCACGCCGCCCCGGTGACGACAGAGCAAGCAGGACTCCTCCACAGCCTTGCCGTCTTCGGCAGTGATGGCCACAGGAGACAGCTCCGCACCTTTCCCCAGGGCAGGCTCAAACCAGCAGCCTTTGGTGAGTGGCCTTTGCACATCAAGGCTCCTAAAAAGCACCTTGCTGGCTGCCATGGAGTCAGTTCCAAGCGACAGGGCGAGCTGTGGGCTCACCAGGGTCTTTTCTCCGCAGCGACTGGCCTTTCGGTTAGCAGCCGAGCGAGCACCTAACAGGTCAGCACACCGTGGGGTCTCCTGGAAGCTGCTTACTCGGCCACCGTCACGTTCTCTGGATGGCTAGGTGGTAAGAGCCTGGGAGCCAAGGCCCCGCTCGCTCAGAACGTCTGAGACAGAATGGATGAAAGAGAGGAGGGCTCTCTTTTCCAGCCGCAGAAGCGAAATGACGCGAGGGCAGAGTTTCTGAGATTGTGAATTTTTATGGAAGCAGACGGGCTCTCCTCCTCCTCCTCCTCCTCCAGCACAATGGCTGCTGCTGGGTTCTAACTGCTGGCCTGGCAGGTAGCAGCCAAAAGATAACCCAGGAAGCCACGAGGGCTTCTTCCGCAGGCAAGAAGGAAGTAATAACCGTGGTTTCTGTGAGGCTGCGTTTAACCTGGGAAGTCTTCGTGGCGCAGCGGCTTTTCCAGCCTTCAGGAAGGAAGAGCAGGTCCGGTTTACCAGAGAGCTCTGTTCTGGTTGTACGTCAAGCTAATTCTCCTTGAAAGAACTGGAAACTCTTACACATCATGCAATTGCAGAATGTCATCAATGATCGCAGAGGTGAGAATAAGGTACGGAGGGTTGTTTTTTTTCATGTGGTAAAGTAGCGATGTCTTTCTAAAGCATGACGAGTGGAAGGGGGAGGGGGCGGTCTATAGAAATAACTCAGAGGTAGATGGAGAGAAACCTCCGTGTGGAGGAATTTCCAGATCTCCGTTAGAGTCTTTAAAGGAATTTACTGTGACGGCTTGACAGGCTTTAGCATTCCCCCATAAACCGTGCCTCAATAAAGAGACATCCAGCGCTAAGCTCCTCGGCGTCAAACAGAATGACACACCAGAACGACTCTGCTAAGAGACACAGGTATAGGATTCAGTCAGTGAAGAGAACCAAAGCGGAGGGTGAAAAACCAGACGCGCCATTGAAAAGAACCCCCCACCCCCAACAAAACTACCCTTCGGCAAAATGCTAAGTTTAAGATGACTCTCGATTCTTGAAAAACGTGACTTGATCGTTCCACGCTGGTTAATCACATTTAAATGACAATAATTTTGATGTCGCACCTCAGAGTATCTCACGGCTCTTTTTTTTTATTAAAAGAATTGGCCTTGATTGCAAACCCTCTTGACGCCCTGAACTGCCTGTCAATGGCTCGCTCCGTATGTTAATCCGCCTTACCACAAGGTAGGGTCCTTTGAATGCAGGAGGTTCTTGTACAGCGCTGCTTCTGCCTGATCCTCCTGCTTGGCACAAATAAAGGAGTCCCGTTTCCGTCTCAAAAAATTCAAAAGATCACCATAGCAACAGTATTCTGTAATGACCAGGGTGGGCCCTGCAAGCATAAAGGACCAGGTTAGAATGGGGTGAAAGGTATGGATCATTTCACAGCCTCCCCGTAAAAACACCCAAGGGTGCTCACGGTCATTTGGATTCAGCCTTCCCTGGATAAACCACGATCCTGTCTGTGCATACTGCTCACCTATAAGCAGCCTGAGTACGTGGGGTGACACCCCTGCCGCCTAGGCTCGTAGGTGATGTTGGCATTGGGGTGGGGGTGGGGTCAGGTGTTGATGGCTGCTTATTCAGACAGGAGTCGTGCTGGCAGACGACATTGTACTGTGACTGAGCTTCCTACAAGAATCCTGTGATTCCCTCCCATTTAGAGTGGTGGGAGAGGGGCGCTTCCCACCCTCCTCTCCACAGTTATTATGGAAATGACAGAGAGCACACACTGCGGCATCATGGGAAAACCAGCCACACGGAACAGCCAGCGGATATGAGACTGGAAATTAGGTGGAAACCTGCCATGACATGGCATCACCTGTGTGCTGGGTACCCAGCCACCTTCATGGTACCGACCGCCGGAAGCAGCAGCTCCCGGGTCACGGGCAGCTGATACACTGAGGCACAATTGCTCATGAACAATTCATGGTGCGGTTAAGCAACACCTGTGGGGGCTGTTTTCAGGGCTAGCCTCAAGCTGTCAACTTGCCCTGTGCCCCTTCTCCAGAACTCCAGGAACAGCCTGCTTGACGGGTCTTTGAGGCCCCGTGCCTTCTGCAAACACTACACATGCTTGGTGGAAGGGCCCACTGCTGTAGGCAGGATTGGAAGCCATCTCTATGGAAGGGAACCGTGTGCCTTGTGTGGTGCCTACTGGGGCCCCGAGTCCCTCTGCGGCATGCACATGAGTGTCAAGCAGATGACAGAGCCAGATCCGGGAGGACAGGAAGTGTGCAGGATGAAGAGAAGAGCTGTCCAGCCCAGCTGAGGTTCCAGAGTCAGTGTAGTCCTGGTGGCAGACAGGACAGGAACTAGAGTTATGTCCTGGGCTGGCCCCCCTACCATGATTGAACTGTAATGTATGTCTTTTGGAACCATGAAAATAAAATAGAACCCCGCACTGTCCACCAGCCAAGTGAGGCTTGTGTTGAGCCCACCTGGGAGAAGGGCTGCTGCCGGGGTTTCCACAGCTGTGACCCTTACAGAAGCCGGGGGCCAAGCCCCACATATGAGCAGCCCTTAAGAACAATAAAAGCAGATGCACACGCGCGCACACACAACCCACTGCCATCAAGCTGATTCCAAATCATAGTGACCCCTCCCCCCCATCTAGGGTTTCCAAGGCAGAAAGTCTTTACAGGAGCACACAGCCTCATCTTTCTCCCCAGAGAGGCTGCTGGGTTTGAACCTCCAACCCTGCAGTTATAGCAGTCAAATATTTCCTGGACAGCACCACCATACCAAACAGTCCCTTCAGCTCACTGCCAGTAAGTCCACTTCGAGTCACAGGACCTGGGAGGACAGGGTGGAACTGCTCCCGGGGGTTCTGAGACTGTAACTTTATGCAGGAAGAGAAAGCCTCATCTTTCTCCCGCGGAGCAGCAGGTGGTTTCAAACTGCTGACCTTGCAGTTAGCAGCCCACATAGTGTAACTCACGATGCCACCAGGTACCTCTGCTGAAAACGAAAAAACCTACCTTGCCAGACAGCAGTACGCTGGGTAAAAACCCTGCTGCGTGTTTCTAATCCATTATGGACGTATCGTTTTAAACTAGCCCCACCCCCACCCCCCAGCCCCGTGATAGTAAGAGGTCATTTAGATTCAGCTTTACCTCCAACAGTGCATGCTCCAAGAAGATTCACAATATTCATGTGGTTACCGAGGTAACTCAGGACTTTGAGTTCAGACATTAGGGCTTCTCGTTCCGTCAGGTGGGCACTTGCTAAAATTAGAAACATCTTATTTTAGCTGACCAAAAAAAACAACAAATGATATAGCAAACTACCGCTGAGGTCAGATGCTCCCCCTGCAGGAACTTACGTTTGAGCATTTTCACCGCCACGGTCATGGCCGCATCCGATTTAATTAAGCCGTATGCAGTGGCCTCCACGACTTTCCCAAAGGCTCCAGCACCCAAGGTTTTCCCTTCAACAAAGAAGACAGCTAGGTAAGCGGTGGAGGCAGGGATGCCACGGGAGAGCCATGTGTCACTTCACAGGTAACAAAGGCAGCGTTGTTCTACCGGCGGGGCCCCTGAAATGGACTCCACGCCAAACGCTGTCGAAAGCCGTGAGGTCTCACAGAAAACACTTCCTATTTCAGGAAAATCCAACAAAGGACACAAGCAGGCTCACCCTCGGCCATTGTTAAGAGTCATGGGGGCACAGAAAGGTTTACACAGAAAGTCCCCGGCTTCCTACTGACCAAAACTCAGCCTGTTTCTGGGAAACTCCCATTTGTGATCATAAGGAAGTTGAGTTGGGTCAATGTAAACATAATTGTTGCCGTTTATCTCCTCAACCACTTTCCATTGCACTTCATACATGGGCTTCTGGGGAGAGAGAAAGGGAGAGATGTCTATTAACCTTGGCTGATGAATGGCCCAGGCGTGACAGCACCCTGGGAGGCATGCACCGACTGTTACCTGTAGGTATTTGTAGGTGAGGACCATCACAATGACGCACATCAGCCCGGCTGCGATCACAAAACCAATCAGCAAAGGCGTGAACAGGGTGTGGGACTGGATTTGTTCTACAGTGAAGAGAGAGGAGAGGGGCATTCGCATGCTATTAGCAGGGTTGGATCACCCCACGCACCACTCACCCCCAAACTCACCCGACACCCAACTAGTTAGATCCATGGTGCGATGCAAAGCTGTGTGAGTCTCAGATCCTAGTCTTGGTTAGTATCTTACTCATGTTATTCAAGCAAATCATGTAAAGCAATGCTTCCCAAAGTGGACCAACCCCTGCCCCTTGGGGGTGTGCTGGACTGATCCAAAGGGGCTGCGGAAACAGATGCCTATACTTTATCCTGGATTATAGGTTATAGTACAAAGAATTTCCATTGCTGGTGGGCGCAGAGCCATTTCATCTTTTTCCTCCTGAAATGAGGGAGGTAGGCCAAAGAAATTTGGGAGCCAATGATCCGGCATTGCTTTAAGCCAGACTTGGGACGTCTCTAGCACAATTGTTGGAGGCGACTTTTTGATGAAAAAGCAAAGTGAGTAAAACAATGGAGAATGAGAATGTTGTACTTGAACCTAATTCCTGATTTGGACAGCTTTCAGAAGTTCCCTTTGTTCACACTCTCTTCCTCAAGCTTTCCTGCATTTCCCACCTTTCTCCACGGAGCACGGATTTCATTTGCAACTGGGGGTGGGGGGTTGTAAGTATTCTTTCTCATTGCCCTGTCTGAATAAAGAATCAATGGTGTCGAACAAAGTAAGATTCTTCCCTCATTATTCAAACACTGAAAGCGCACCGCTTTTTGGCACAAGCCTTGGCGAGCTCAAGAGAACAACAAAAAATACGGGCCCTACAACTTGAGTTGCCTGGTTTCTCTGTCCTCTGGTGTGACACCAATTCATCAATTCACCCGCGAGGACCATGTGCCAGACGTGAAACGAGCTATCACTCCTGAGTCAAACTTTAGAGATCTTGAAAGCAACGTCTGGTGCACATGACTTCATCAAAGGCGTTTTGCTACTGTGTGTGTGTGTGTGTGTGTGTGTGTGTGTGTGTTAAAAATCATCCATTTTCAAAAACTGAAATGGTACAGTGAGTCCAAATGCTAAAACCTCCTAATTTTGTTTGGGCATCATCGATTCCCTTGCCGCCTTTCTATGCCCCCCCCCCCCTTTTAATAAAGAGCTGAAGTATCCCTTACTGCCATCAAGTCGAAGCAGACTCACAGGCAGGCTACAGGACAGGGTAGAACTGCCCGTGTGGGTTTCTGACACTGTACCTCTTTATAGGAGGAGAAAGGCTCATCTGTCCCCCTTCCTTTTAAGCAAAGCCATCGGAAGAAATACAGTCACACACACCTACATGCAAACTATATGCATTTAAGAGCACGGGTGAATTGTACTTGAGAAGAGCACACGGTGTATCACTAAGCTCGTGCAGCATGGAACGCGGGCGTCAGATGACCGTGCGGTGCGATGCAGGTATTACCAGAGATGACAGGGCCAGGGATGGAATGGGGGTAAAGTCATGATGGATATGGTAGACAGAGCCTAAAACATCCCCTCAAATTGGATTAAAAGGAAATATACCTTTGCTGTTACCTTTAATTGCAAAGTTAAAGCGGGCGGCGTTCTTGCCCACTTGGTTGTAAGCCTTACACTCAAACGTGCCGTTTTGCTTGTACACGCTGTAGTCCATGGTGCTCTGCACCACGAGTCTTCCAAAGGGCAACACGGAGGCATTCAGTGTCTGGACAGCCAGCGGCACAATGGGAACCAGGCAGCTGACGGGAGAGAACAACAACTCCACTTACTCCGGGAGAATAAATAAGGAAAGGAAACACCTTGGACTTGGCTGCTGTCCACAGACTAAATGTAAAGTTCGTCATGTGAACCACCGTCCTGTCTGGCGATGAGCGAGCACTTCCGTGGCACACGCCAAAACAAACCCGCTGCCACCGGGCCGATTCCAACGCACAGTGAGCCTAAGGAGGGTTTCCGAGACGGCACATCTTCGGGAAGCAGACGGATTCCCTCAGAGCAGGCTGGAGGGTTTGAACCTCCGACCATATGGTTAGCAGCTCAGGGCGCTATCGTGAAAAGAGTAAAGAAAGGGTGGGAGGAGGAGGAGAAGGGGCAGGGCAAATGGAGATAGGCTATTGGGGGTTAGATGTGGGTTTGAGTTCTGACTCAAACATTTACTCTGTTGACTTCTGACAAGTGACTTCCACGCTCCGAGCCCAGTTCTCAGAGCTGCAAAAGTAGGGTGGTAATGCTCCCAGGGAAGGACTCCGTGGGTTTACTCACCTGAACCAAAAACAAAACCCACGGCCACTAGATCAATTCCGACTCCACAGCAATCCCAGAGGACATAGCAGAGCTGTGTCTGTGGATTTCTGAGACTACCTATTTATGGGAGCCTCATCTCTCTCCCTTGGAGCTGACTGCTGAGTTCAAACTGTGGACCCTTGGGTTAGCAGCCCAACAAGCAATCCTCTCGGCCACCAGGACTCCTAAGCAGACCCTTACTCACGACTCCACACTGCCATCGAACCCATTCTAATGCATAGCAACCCAAGGGGACAGGGTAAAACTGCCCTGTGGCTTTCCCAGATTGTACCTCTTTATGGGAGTGGAAAAGCCTCATCTTTCTCCCTCAGAGTGGCTGGAGGATTCAAACTGCTGACCTTGCTGGTTAACAGCCCAACACGTAACCCAGGGCACCACCTCCACAAATACTCGCTGATAGAATGATTATAACGACAGAGGTTTGTTTCTACTGTGGGCCAATTTCCAGAGAACCTCGCTTTTATTCCCCAGAGAAAATGGTCTTTGGAAACTATCCTAAACAGTCCTGTGTGGCCTCTTCCAAGGCTCGGGATGCAAAGGTCCGCTGGATGCAAATGAAACGTCCATTATTAGCCTGCCTTTTCTGTTGTGATGTGAAACCGGGTTTTAAAAGCCTGAGCGTGAAAGACAGCATTTGATGATAAAACAACCACAAGAACTCCATTTCTATCTTCAGGTAACGTGCAAGGGCACCTTACGGCCTGGGGGTGGAATGTTTGAGAGACAGGCACCCTTGCCAGATGTGTTCGGTTCAGGGGCCCGGTACCTAATCAAGAAGCAAACCTTTTCAAAAACACGCCACTTACAAATGCCATCCACGTGCTGTAATTGCCCGATCACTACTTTTTGGTAACTTGGCAATTAACTTCCGAGGTAATATTTTCAGGATAACTACAACCACATTTCCTATACACATTACCTCCTGTGTCTAGAATGGAAATCTAATTACTCTGGCCCCGGAAAATTGCTTTATCTACCTGCCGACTAGAAATTGCATGATAAATCCAAAAAGATAACCACCAGGAGAGAGAAGTCATTCAGTCACCTTTTTTTTTCCTCCCCCCAAACAGAATTAGTGTCAAGCAAGAAGAGCGTAGCAATTATCCCCTCTGTAAAGCCACACGGATTGAAAATAACCCAAACAAAGTTGTAAAAAAAAATTGTTGTTGTAAGCAAGTCTGGGAAAACATTTGAAATTCAACTGAATTGCTGGCTCTCCCTTCTGCGTGTCAGAGTGCCCGAGAGAGCCCACTCACCTCGGCTCGGCTCCTGAACAGAAAAACCACTCGATTGTGGGCTCCGGGAACCCTGCTGCCACACACTGGAGGTTGCCATTCTCGAGCCTGTCAAAAGTCAGGATTTCTGGTTTTGCTGTAGGAAATGAGAAATAGCCACACGTCAGGTCGCTGAGACCGCACCAGAGGCCTTCTGCTCTAATCCTTAGAATCATCCAGAGGCTCGGTGAGCCCAGAGGGAACCCCCGTCCTCGTTCAGAGGGGAGAGAGGCACCAGGTGGGCGGAAAGCTCAGGGAGGCAAAGGTGAGGGGCGAGCCAGGAGCGGGCCTCAGTGCCGCTGGGGCTGCCCAGCATGGCAAGGGTCAAGAATCGCCCACCCTGCAGTTTCTGGCGTCCAGTGGGTGCCCGGCAGTGTCTGCTACCCTGAACCATATTGGAGCGTGTCTTCTAGTCTACTCTAGGATCCCAACGTGTCCTCAGGGTTGTTGCTGTGATTTAACATGCCAGGGACACAAGGTCGCCCGGTCCTGAAGCATCTTCCGACCTTGGGTGCCTGAGCCCACTGCTGCAGGCACGGCGCATAGTCCCAGTGCCTTCCAACCTGCACCATGTTGGGGGAAGACACAGCCTGTTGCTCTCCATAGGGTTCTTTCTCATTGGCTAACTCTAAGAAGTAGCCCATCCGGCCTATGGTTCTTGGTCCGTCTTAATCTGGAAGCTCGACTGAGACCTGGTCATCACAGGTGACACAGCTTCCGGTATCATAGCAACCCCACCCACCACCACCTACGAACCAAACCCCACTGCCATCAAGTCAATTCTGACTCGGTGACCATACAGCACAGCAGAGAAATCTCCCTGGGCAGTAAAAGACCTCTATTTTTCTCCTGAGGAGCAGCTGGTGATTTTGAACTGCTGACCACGAGGCTGGCGGCCCAATGTGTAACCACTATGCCTCCAGCGATGCGCAGGCCCCTGCAATTCGACCGCAGTGGCCCTGAAGGTGGTCATCCCGTTAGAAATAACGCCTGCCATGGCAGCTTTCGGTTACTGTCTCTGCCCTCAGAACGTCAGGCTGTTCTAGATGCCAGAATGGATGAAAATAGCAGTTACAGGGAAGGAGAAACCCCTATTCTTTCGGAGATTTTCTTTTGGGAAAAAGAACTGGATCTCTTTTTATTAAAAGTCAGAACCTAAGAGTGAGCTATGAAAGGGGTTTCAGAAAGCTCATGGGAAAATGGAATTTTAAAATAATGAGGAAAAGGGATGGGGCATTTCCACAAACTTTCACTCCCCGCATGGACTTTACGCTTTACATTTTCACCGGCTAAATAGGGATGGAAAATTTGAAGACAAAACTAGCCCAAGTGTTTTCTTTGTACATACACCGGAACTTGAGGACGATCACAAAAGAGATGGGCAGTCTCTGCAGGAAGCCTCTCATTTGTTATTTCTGCAAATAGAATAATCGATCCACTGGTATTCAAGAGTGCCCTGAAGCACTGTGATTTTTCTTTAAATTTCTAACAGGAAAAGGAGACTGGTTTAGGTTCAGTTTTTCGAATGGAAATGCAGTTGGATGGATTCTAATTCATGGAGACCGCTGCCCGGTTGTCTGGTGGCGGCCTGTGTGTGGCTATGATGTTTCCATTACCATGAGGGCCACCCACGGGAGACAGGGTCTCACAGAGCTTCCCGGCTGTGAGACTAGGAAGAAAAGCCTACTCATCTACTTTTAAAATGCGGCCAGTCAAAATCCAATGGGTGACAGAACACTCTCTGAAGAGGAGCCCCAGGGGTTGAAAGGGGCTCCCACAGGGGACGTGAGCTTGCCAGCCACTGAAGGAGGCGCAGGCCCGGACACCACCTTGGGCAGTTTTGTATTAGCGCCTCATGAGCCGGAGCAGACTCTTGGGCTGCTAATTAGAATGCTGCGGCAGGGTACGGAGCCCCCAGAGGCCCCCTTAGAGGCCGTCACCCTGGGGTACTAGCTCTAGCTCCAACGCCTCTCTGCCCTCTCCCAAGCTTCTGCATCACTGCCCCTAAACTGTCAGAGCACCCATCTCATCTCTCACCCGGGGGTGGGGGGTTGGTGCTGTGGGACCCAGTGAGATGGAGAACTGAGAAACGCTTCGCACGATGAACTGATACATTCATTCAAGCGTCGCACAGGATTCCCTCACCACTCCCACCTTTAAATAAACATTATTGTTGAAGCCCCTTTTAGGCTTAGGAGAGCTGTTCAGGATGGACAGGGAGAAAAGCCGTACTTCCCGATTCCTACTCTCAGACCCTGGAGCGTGTTGCAGAGTAGGGCAGTTCCAGAGGGTTTTCCTGGGAGGAAATCCTTATGGAACTTGATCAGGAGGCCTTTCTGCCACAGAGCCCCAGGATGGGTTTGAATCGCTAACCAAGTTCGGGTCAAGCACAAACCATTTGTGCCACCGAGCAAGTCCGAAGGCAGCTCCTCCCCACCACATACGCTGTCTCCCTCCTATTAACCCCTGGCATCCCAGCGGTACATGGAGTACACCCGACACAACAGTGTGGATGCATTATTCAATATCAAAACACAGCGGTTTGCATTGAAGCACGTGAAGTGTGTATATTTTTATGCACCCTCCCCGTTACTTTTTTTCCATCACAGTACTCACTCTTAGCAATATTTACCACTGGAAGGATTTTCTTCAATGATCCGAAGATCATTTTTAAGATCACTTTATGGTAGTGTGAGGATCTATGCTTATGTTTAACCCAATGCACGGGGAATCCAGCCTCAATTATCCTGCAATGGGATGGGTGGGGGATACAATTATGTAGTCAGCAGGGAAGAGCAGCCACTGGGGAGGTTTTTCCCCCCCAAAGAAAGACAACAGGGATAAAGGATATCTTTATAGAACAACCTCTCAGCCCCTCCCCTTCTTGGAGGCAAAACAGGTTGGCAAGATCCGAGTGTCCACATGCATGGCACATCCACCTGCCACTCAACCTGGCCCTGCTGATGGGCAGGCCATTTGGCGAATTCACCCCCCAACAGTACCACTCCAAAGCAATCTCAAGGTAGGGGCACCCTTGAAAGTTTGGATCCCATGCCAGCTTTCACAAATAGAGCAGGAAGATGGGCCAGCATCTTGAGAAAGCATCCATCTGGCCCGTTTAGTTTAATTATCACAGGCAACTGTGGGACTGGGCCGAAAAGTAGGGCACCCCCCACACACAACACACACAACCAGTGAACCCTTGGGAGAGAGTGCTGCTTGCTGGAGACCGCAGAGCGCCATACGGCGGGTCTCTCTGGCCTCCAGTCAAGCGTCACCTCCCTTTCCAAGCTTCCCCAATTCTCCCAAGCCAAGTCGGTGGGTCTCTCCTCCCTATTCCGGCAGCACTTAAGAGCACCTGACACTCGTATGCAGCGTTGTGGTCTGCCTCTTCCAAAGACTGTCCGTTCTCAAGGACACTAAGCGCATCTTACTGACCCTGCCTCTGGTCCTTAGCACAGAGCCTAGCCCAGGGCAGGCACCTAAGAAGAGTTGCTGAATGGTTAAGAGCCCACCCTCGAGAGACAGACACACACACACACACACACACCAACACTCTCTGAGATCACAAAGGAATTAATTCAATGGTAAAGTGCAGCTATAGAAAACGAACCTGGGAGAACTGCTTCATGGTGGTCTGCGAGTGGGGGGGTTGTGGGGGGCAGGTCGATGTCTGACAACGCAGGACAGGAAGACAAAATGCACTGCTGACTGTGTGAACCCCACCCCCCTGCTTAATACTGAGATGGTGGAGTGGAGGGGTCCACGCACTGGCAAAGGTAAAAGAATCGCACTCAATTGGTGGCACAATGGTTAAGTGCTCGACTGCGAGCCCAAAGGCCCGAGGTTGGAAGACACCAGCAGCTCCCGGGCAGAAAGATGTGGCGATTGGCTTCCTAAAGATTACACAGCCCAAGACGCAGTTAAGCTAAAGCTGTAATAGCTTGTCATTTTATCTCCCTTCGGACCCGTTTCTGCTTTCCTGTTGATTTGGAGCTTTTCTATGTTTTGTCTGGTCGTTGTCATTAGTTTTTGTTTGTTTGCTGCCTGGCTTCCTGTTTGTGTTTTGTATGATTATTTTTGTATGCGAAATATCCAGGCTCGGTAGATCTATGGAGACAGTCACTGGATTGGTAATTGCCTGGGGACATGGCAGGGGAGGACAGAGGGAAACGGGGAGCTAACAGCAAAGAGGACGAGAAGAAAATGTTCTGAAATGGATTGTGGTGATGATTGCACAAAGCTTAATATGTTTGAATAACTATGTCGCATGATATGTGGAGTATATGCCAATAAAACAATTTTTAAAAAAGATTACAGCCTCGAAAACTCCAAAGGGCAGTTCTACTCTGTTCAGTACGAGCACTGTACATCGAAACAGATCAGTGGTGCCTGGAACTCAAAAAGGAACCTCAAATTGCCAAGACAGGTAGGCTCGGGCCTAGCTGCCTTTCTTCATGCATCTTACATAACTCCCACAAGGACGCTGGAGGGAGTTCTTGTGGCAATAAGGAGCAACAGGAAAAAGAAGGCTGAGCAGACACCTTAAGTTGGTAACAGTGATTACCTCCCCATCCTGGGGCTATACATTTTCTTAATCTTTACAATGAACGCACACTTAAAAATGGCCCTATAAAACCTTTTGTAAAAAGTAGGAACAACTCAAAATTACACAATTTCATTCAGAGGTGGTGACAGGGCTTGGAGAGCCAAGCCTTCTAGCAAGACACCTGGTCGCAGCTCTACAACAGCCGTGGCTGGCGAGTGGCACAAGCTGGCTGGCCTACTTGCTCCCGTGTGCTGGTTAATGAGGAGGTAGCTTTTCAAGCCACTGTTCCAGGCGGGTCATCACCTAAGGCTAGGTGAACAGCTTTTGTCTCACTGGGTCTGAGGTCCCCCCACCCCCACCCCCTCCCCCCAGCTCAGAGGGTCCTCAGCCTGCAGCACAGGCCACTAGAATCACTATGGTAGAGCCGCAATGCAAATTCCTGGACCGGGCCCAGCTCCGCAGTGACCCAGCGCGCTAGGTTTTTTCATTGGTTTGTTTTTAAAGCATAGTCGAGGAACCCCCAGTCGGGGCCAGGTCTAGGGTGAAGC